TTGTTCTTCTTCTGCAAAAGCAGCCCCCTGCAGCCACACTCAAAAGTTGTCGGGATCAAAATAAATCTTGTCACTGTGAGAAAAAAACCTGTCGCAGCACGACAAAACCTGTCATGGTACCAGCACCCTATTGATTCGCAATGCGGCCTACGCTACAGACGCTGCTGCTCGCAGCGCATCCATTTCCTGGAGTTCAGGTGCTCCCTGCATCATTTCCAGGATGCAAGCTGTCAGTCGAGCGCTGCACCAGGTCACATTCGCTTCGCAATGAACTGCGACGCTTGAAATCTGACGATGTCTGCATCCTCAGGCATGCGGATCTCGGAGAACAGCGATCAAGTGTGACACGTGCGCCTGCAATTTTTTTTTAATGATGTCGCTTTGAGGTTGTGGCCAGCGTGATGGAAGCACCACATGCCCGTGCTGCTGGAAGCTTGCATCCTGCAACAGAGCTGTGCGATTGAAAGTGGACGCGTGCTGCACAAGGTCAGCAAGTCTGCCCTTGGACGTCATCCAAGAAATTTCCGTAATCAATCTGCAGATTCCCAAGACTTTACCAAGAAGGAGCTATGGGCTCACACAGCCTTGCAGGATTCATTGGGTGCTCTACCATGCGCTACGATTCATGGTACCTGCTCTGCTCCTTCAGCAGGTCCTGCTGCATAGCTTCATGAAGCTTCTGCATACTCCTTGGCCACAAGGCAGCTTCCTATGAAAGCCAAGCACAGAAGCTTGGATTGGGTCATGGGTGGTCAACGGCTATGGGCTGTGAGCGATTGAATTTGTTCTGATATCAATGGATCCGTGGTGCTCTTGTTGGATTCTTTTTGGCATAGCGCCTTGCAAACTCCAGGCTCACTTCCAGCAACGGCAGTGACTTGACACACCCAACAGATAAAGATGAACGACAAGTCTGACTTGAAAGCAGCCTAGCAGAAGCTGACCAAACACTTGAGGGCTGGTCCATAATTCCCGCTCCATCTGAGCCTTCTCTCGACCCACAGCATTCAATTCCTGAGAGACTCAAAACAACGTGGTCTGCTACTTACCTGTGAATATCGCCAGGCCACCGACTGCAACCATGGTGAAACCCCCCAAAAGGCCTGCCTGAATTTCCTGGACAGCACGCCCCTCCGCGCCCTGGACACGGCACCCAGCACCCCGGACAGCACTTTGGACCGCAAACCCCCGTGCCAGCACCCTCGGGACAGGGTGAAACTGCGCACCAAGTGCCTTCTGTCCCAACAGCACTGGGGCTCGACTCTGACATCGCCGGGACAGCACCCTGAGCCAGAAACTGCGCGCCGAGTTTCCCTTGTTAGCTACATACATGCTGCCACTGAGGAAAGTCCGCGTACCAAGAAAGTGGCCTGCGCTGCAGACGCCACGAAAAGCACAGCGACAAGTGAAGCTTGTGAACGCAGTCTAAGCCCTTTGAGGCACCGGCCTCGCTGCCTGGAATAGCGCCTCTAACATTGGGGAATTCAAAGTATACTGCCACTCTGCATGGACCTCTCGCCATGCATGGAAAGAAAACGGCAAGAGGCACTTGAGCTGTCGTTCCGTTCCACGGGAAAACCTGATTCCTCTAGACGTTGTACACGTGATTTGTTTGGGCCCAGCCGCACGCGCAGGAGTCAAGCGTGAGAGAGGGGCGGGTGGCACAGCAGTTCCAACATGTCCCAACGAGAACCGTCTTCCTGCATGACTTAAAATGATACAGGAAACCTTTCAGCTGGCCTCCAGCAGCGCGGACACGTGGTGCTTCAATCATGCTGCCCACAACCTCAGCTTCCAGTGTCCAGCGTCAGATGGTGTGGTACCATATATCGGTTGAAGACGATTCCTCCAAGCAGGTTCAGTCGTGGCCATCCGGCTGCTCATGTCATAGCACACTATGACCCCGGACCCAGACCCAAGGTCAGCATATGCCAAGGGCGCAAAACGACATCACAACAAACTGCAGGCGCACGTGTCACAAATTGTCGCTGTTCTCCGAGATCCATGACATGCCTGAGGACGCAGACATCGTCAGATTTCAAGCGTCGCAGTTCATTGCGAAGCGAATGTGACCTGGTGCAGGGCGCGACTGGCAGCTTGCATCCTGCAAAAGAGCTGTGCGATTGAAAGTGGACGCGTGCTGCACAAGGTCAGCAAGTCTGCCCTTGGACGTCATCCAAGAAATTTCCGTAATCAATCTGCAGGTTCCCAAGACTTTACCAAGAAGGAGCTATGGGCTCACAGCCTTGCAGGATTCATTGGGTGCTCTACCATGCGCTACGATTCATGGTACCTGCTCTGCTCCTTCAGCAGGTCCTGCTGCATAGCTTCATGAAGCTTCTGCATACTCCTTGGCCACAAGGCAGCTTCCTATGAAAGCCAAGCACAGAAGCTTGGATTGGGTCATGGGTGGTCAACGGCTATGGGCTGTGAGCGATTGAATTTGTTCTGATATCAATGGATCCGTGGTGCTCTTGTTGGATTCTTTTTGGCATAGTGCCTTGCAAACTCCAGGCTCACTTCCAGCAACCGCGGTGACTTGACACACCCAACAGATAAAGCTGAACGACAAGTCTGACTTGAAAGCAGCCTAGCAGAAGCTGACCAAACACTTGAGGGCTGGTCCATAATTCCCGCTCCATCTGAGCATTCTCTCGAGCCACAGCATTCAATTCCTGAGAGACTCAAAACAACGTGGTCTGCTACTTTCTTGTGAATGTTCCCAAGCCACTGAAGGATGCAGAATCCAAGAAGAACGGTGGTGAAACAACAGTGAGGGTTCGGACAGTTTGATGCGCCAGTCATAGTGCGCCTGCTGTAGCTCGCTGTGGTCGGACATCGTGGACAGCTGCTTCCGCAATGACTTCAGCTCCTTCAGACAGCATCACATCGAGCATCAGCCATCATTCCCTTACTGACAGCAAAGCACGTTTCAATCGGCCTGACGCGCGATGTTGAGCTCAGCGGTCTGGCCGGCCGCATGCGTATTTCCAAAGGCACAGCAGTGACTTTCATCACATGTCACATGGTCAGCAATCCACTCAAGCCAGCCCGCGAAAAATTGTTCATGCCTTCTTTTTCTCTCGCTCCTTGAGGACCTTCACCTGTCAGAAGCTCAGTATCCCCAACATGAAAAATGTTGACAGCTCTGATACTTCTATAGCAACATCTGCACGCATGTCTGAGGGGCTGGCTCATGAGGCTAGGGTCCAGTTTGAGACCTGCAGCAAGGCCTTAGGTGGGGGCGTATCATCGCAAGAGCATGCGACAGCACAGTCAAGCCAAGCAATCTACTCGAGATACTCGCAAGATGGGTGCAGCGCTGGTCATTTTTCCAGGCCCTGCAGGCTCTGCAGGCTTGAAACCAGGCGGGCTGGAGGACCTCAGAGTGTCATACACGAACGTCTCTGTCATTTTTGTAAACAAAATAGCCAAACTTGCTCAGGTCCATTTTGCAGCAAAGCCTTCACGTCTGCAGAACCCGCCATGCCCACAAGCTTCAGCACCCGAACTTAAAACCGTACTTGAATTTGGTACAGTACGCTTTCCAATGCGTCCATGGTGCGTGGACGCAGACGTGGGGGTGCCTTCTTCCAGGCTCTCCCTGATAGGCTCCATTGCTGCAAGAGGCCAGCGGGGGTGCTTTGTATGGCAAACTCGTTCCACTTACGTGAGACATGCACTGGGCAACGCAGCGAAGAAAGTGACATTGATTCGCAAGGATCTACCCTACGACTCTGTGATACTCTGTGCGTGTGTGGCAGGCGTGGCCAGGTCCACACGTGCAACTGAGAAAGCCGCAAGTCTCCGACCCTCAGGGTTCCGAGGTCGTGGGCCAAATCAGCTCGAAGGCAGGGCAGCGTGCTTGATTACGAAGATGGGCTTCTGAAGGTTGCGCACGATCTCTATGAGTACCCTGCCAGGCACTAATAGCACTCACTACTTGTTGCGGCTGTAAGCACGGCATTTGCTTGAGGCCTTCTGGACCTAATGCAGGCCAACATGTCCCTTTTACATGTCAACGACCCTAATCTGGCGTGAGTGACCTTAAGCACCATCCAAAAGCACGTCGATGGAAGGCAGGGTTGCGTCTTCTCCGCCAGCGGGCCAATGACGTTCATGCAAACCCACCCAACAACCTGGGACAGACCTTGCATTTGCAATGGCCTTCTTTGCCAGTGCATCAAGTGAGAAAAGTTTTGCAAGGGGGCTGCACCGTCCAGTTCAATAATTCTCCCTGATGGCTCCTTGATGAGGACAGCCTACTTGCATCTGCTTTCGGAAAAAAGCGTTGCGTAGCTGTATGTGTCCCGTTTTTCTGAGATAGCAGAAATCTGGAGAAAAAACAGGCAGCTTGAGGCCCAGATGGAAGCCCATCCACAACATACTCTCTCAGAAAACCGAGAAAATCTCTGAGCAATGCTGTTTTCCTTGAGAAAAGCAGCCCGCACGCCGACACCCTCTTTGCAGAAACACGTTTGCCTCCGTCGTTGCGGATGCTGGTAGCTACGCCTTGGAGCCCCTTTGGGTTGTTCCCGGACGATCATTAATTCTGAAAGTTAAAGTGTTCCAGCTTTTCCAAGAGCGATTAGATGCGCGAAACCCATAACAACAGAACGCCAGCTGGCATCCTGTAGCTTGGCTCCAATCATGACCACAGACTTCTATGAATCTTAGTCACCTGATATTCGCGCAGCTACCCGCTGCCCGTTGGAAAAATGTGATGCTGCTCTGGCATCTGCAGCGAGGCCAGAGCTTCGGTGAGCTTGCTGGCGCTGTCTTTCAGCTTGGCTTCCAGCTCAAGGTTGGTGACCTTCAAGGACGCCTCCAAGCACAACAGAAGATCTCTTTCCCAACCAAGTCGTTCGTACGTATGCTGTTGTCCGTTCAGTGCTGGGCGTGCCTCCGCTTCCTCCAACTCCCGCTCCAAATCAGTTGTCCTTATGAAGGACGCCTCCTAGCACAATGAAAAGTTGCTTTCGAATCCGAGGTACGTTCATAGAGATACTGCTATCCGTTCAAAAGTGCCCCCGCCTCCTTCTCCTTCAGCTGCCGGTCTTTCTGCTTCACGGAAGCCTCCAAGCATGGCAGAAGACG